TGGCAGAGGCAGTGAGGCTGGCGTTGGCCTCTCCCACGGCCGGCCTGGGGCTCCCCACACCTCCCTCTCCTGCCGGCTCCCACCTTGAGGGGGTTGAGGAGGGGCTGTGGGGCGCACTGGAGCCCCCCCTGTGGCTGCACGTCCAGGAGGTAGAGCGGGTCAGAGGGCTGGGACTGGCCGGGGAGGCTGATGTCCAGGCGGAGGCTGCGCACGGCCCCGGGGCCGTTGTTGTGCAGCTGAGGGGACGTGGGGGTGGCCAAGAGCTCAGCACTGGCACAGCCCTCAGGCCCCGCCTAGCCTGGTCCGGGGCTCCTCCCTTACCTCATAGGTGTGCTCCACCTTGGGGCCCCAGCTGTCTGAGCCGTCCTCCTCCCTGTCACCCTCCTCTGACACCACCACCAGGGAGGCCGGGAAGGAGTTCCTGCAGGTGCCCAAGGTCCCAGAGAGAGCTGGACTCCCAGCCGGCCCCTGGGGGTGCCCCCGGGTCCCCAGACTTTGGAGCCCCGCCCACCGACTCCCCTTTGTGACCCCCCTTTCCGCCCCAGGCCTCACCCTCGCAGCTCCACCTGGGCCTCTGCCCGCACCGGCACATCCAGCAGCACCGTGTCGCTGTTTGGATTCTGGCTGTTCTTGCTGGAGGAGAGGGTGAGGAGAAGCGGGGTCAGGGCCCCCAGCTGTGACTCTCTGGGGCGGGGCCAGCATTTTAGGGGGCCCAGGGAGAGCTAAGTCCACAAGCAGCATGCCACACTGAAGTTAGACCCGGGAGAGAACTTCCTCCAGGGCCCCAAGACTCAGACACAAGTGTCTGAGGAAGAAAGGGAACGGGGAGGTCTGAGCACCAGGTGTCTTGGGAGCCTCCTCTGTGTGGCGGAGACCTGAGGGGCTCTGCATCTGGGTCAGAGGGAAGGCTGGGTGGCAGGAGTGCTGCCCAGGCTGGTACCTCCGGATCTGCAGCTGGAAGGACACGCGCTCCCCAGCTTCTTCCAGGCTTCCCACGCTCACCTGCATCGTGATTCCTATCTGGGAGACGAGCAGGGCCGAGGTCACGGCCCAGATGCCTCCTCTAGGCTGCCCTCCAGTCCTCACCCTCCAAGGAACCACTGACATCTCGATTTGACCCGGAAGCCCGCGCAGAGAGGGCAAGCCACTCACCCAACATCA